GCTAATTTTCCAGCCAGGTCCTTCAAAAAAAAGTATTCAGACTTTTTCACCAAGTGTGTGCGGCCGCAGGGTAAAGCTCCCGAATGGGTACCCGCTCATTAGTTGCCCCCTTCTTTGTCTCAATCTGTGCTGGTTGTTTATTTTTTTATTAATATTTCTTAAAATGGGAAAATAATGAAATTGTAAAAGTGCTCATTGGCGTGTTTGAAAAAGGTTCAAGCGGTGTTAAAAAAAGGTCCGGGCAACTCTCAAAAAATGCTGATATCATTCGAAAATCAATTTGACAAAAAAATTATATGTTTCAAAAAAATGATTGGGACCTTTAAAAAAGTATACAATGTAAAACAATGTTCTTGCAATTCAAAAAAAATTGTTCCATTCAAAAAATGCAAATGAAATTTATAAAATGTTCAGGATTTTTAATATATGTTCATGACATTTTTGGACAATGTGGTACAATGTAAAAAATAGTTTGAATATTTTTAAAAATTTGTATCACTGAAAAAATGTTCATCGTGTATTTTAACAATGTTGGACTAATATTCAATGCAATTATTTAAAATAATATTCACGATTCATCATATATTTAAAAAATGTGTATAAATTGTTTCAGATGTATAAGAAAAATGAACAGCGTGTATTGAAAAAGGTACATATGTATTGGAAGAAAATAGAAATTAAAAACAAAAAGGAAAATGAAAAAAAAATTCCCCAATGAAACACCGAAAATAAAAACAAAATAAAACGTGCATAAGCTTATAAAACCAGTCCGAGCCAGTCATAGAAGCCTCCTAAAACCGCTCCATCAAAATCCCATATTGGGCCGGCCGATCTGACGATCGCCTACTACAAGACAGAGTATATTTCTCGCTTAATTCTGAGAATGGGTGGCCACTGGGATTTGTTTATAAATCACAGCAGAAATTTGAATGGGGCCAAGGCCATATAATTTCCACAGTTTTTGTCATGCGATTGATCATCATTTTGCAGTCAATCGGTCATGCTTGGCCAAAAGACACGGAACGACAACTACGACAGTAATTTTACGACGGGATGATTAATCCGAAGGTGAGATAGGACCGACTATTTCACTATCTGCCGACTTATTATTGGGAAATGAGATATATCATGGGTTAAAAATTCTGTGTTGCTTTATACGTCTCACCACCTTTTCTATGCTTTTGTATCAGTATCACTATTTTGGCCACATGAGCTGCCCAAGTTTTTCCGGCGGCACTCTATATTCTACGTTGCCGTTGGACTATCAATGTGTACATAGACAGGGGCTCCATCAAGAACCTATATTGGGCCGGGCCATCGAGGGGCCGCCTAATGCAAGACAAATCATCATTTTTAGAGTGGGTGGCCGCTGGGGTTTTTAATTATAAATTACAGCAGAAATTTAAATGGGCCAAGCCCATATAATTTGAACAGTTTTTCATGGGGCTAATCATCATTTTGCAGTCAATCGGTTATGCTTGGCCAAAAGACATGGAACGACGACTGCAACAATAATTTTGCGACGAGACAATAAATCTGAAGGTGAGAAAGGACCAGCAATTTCACCAAATGCCGACTTATTATTGGGAAATCTGATTTATCATTAGTAACAATTTTATGTTCCTTTATCGGTCTCATCACGTTTGGAGATATGAGTTGCCAATTTTTTTGGCGGCATGATATTCTATGTTGCAGTTGGACCGTCAATGTGTTCATAGATATGACATGAGCGACATCACAACAATTTTTTTCTTTCAAAAATCGACATCACAACAATGTGCATGAGTTTATTTTCTGTTTCTTTGTACATGTCTTGTTATATTTTGTAATCTTGTGATTTAAAAAAAAAACTATGCAGTAGACCAACATATATATTCACCAAGAAAAAAAAGGGCATTTTACAACACTGAAGAAGGCACAACCCCTACAACTCCATAAACACAGGACACGGCATACATGTGAATTTAAATGTATTGATCGATACACTTACTATATTGGCCAACATGTGAGACGTGCTACAAGACCAAGACCGCTATTCATCTCTTTTTTTTGAAAAAGAGGATAGCCCTGGCGTCTGCATCAGAGTGATGCATACAACCATCTTATTTAACAAAAATACGAAGATAAAATCTAAGGTCCAGTACCGTACCGGCTCACAAATGTTGCCGTTGGACTGTCAATGTGTTCATAGATATGATGTGAGGGACATCACAACTATGTGCATCAATTTATTTTCTATTTCTTCATTGAACATATCTACTTTTATTTTGTAGTCGTGTGACTTTATTTAAACATGCAATAGAGCTACATGTATATTTACTAAGAAAAAAAGGTATTACAACAGTAAAGAAGGCACAACCTCTGCAACTCCATAAAGAGCCCTGATGCACCCTGCCAACAATGAAACCCCAAAGGGTCAATAGTTGAGATGAAGTGGAGCGTGTATGCTGGGGATCAACCGAAGTGGCTCCTTCCGGACTACCGATAGAGCACCGACCGATGTCTCGCTCATGTCGAGGTCTTCCGGCGCGATGCCACCGGGAAGCGTCCAGTCGAAATAGAAAAGGAGTTGAGCCAAGCAAAGCTCGACGCCGGCGAGCCCAAACTCTATCCCTGGGCACATTCTCCGGCCGGCACCGAACGGCAGGAACTCAAAGTCGCCCCCCTTGAAGTCGACGCTTGTGCCGAGGAATCTCCCGGGACGGAACGCCTCAGCGTCCTCCCAGTACCTCGGGTCCCTGCCCATGGCCCATGCGTTGATGACCACCCTGCTGCCGGCCGGGATCATGTAGCCACCGACACGGCACTGCTCCTTGCAGACCCTGGGGACTAGAAGAGGTGCCGGCATGTGCAGCCGCATCGTCTCCTTGACGACAAGCCGGAGGTAGCTGAGATGTCCGATGTCGCACCAGCTTGTCACTGCTTCCATTTTTGTCCTCACCTCGTCCTGCACTTTGGCCATCTCCTTGGGGTTCTTCATCAGCTCTGCCAGCGCCCACTCTATCGTTGACGATGATGTCTCTGTGCCCCCGGCAAACATATCCTGTAGCGTGTTCATTTCAATCCAATAGTTAGTTATGTGCAGAGTTAATCAACGGTTAATAATTCCTTTCTACTCTTTTTGTCACATAATATAATATAAGGGTGTTTTTAATACTATACACTAGTGCTAAAAACACTCTTATATTATGGCACGAAGGGAGTACGTCATAGTGATTTGGATATAGACTAAAAAGCACCGATACGGCCAGAACTGCCGATTTGCCGTCCTGATATGGGGGGACACGGGGATACGCCCGGATACGGCTGGATACGCGTATCCCGCAGTATCCCAACTTTTTCGAATTTAAAAAAAGAAATAAAATCGGGATACGGCCTAGATACGGCGTGGACACGGTGGGGACTCGGCAACCAGCCTCCAGTGACCATGCTGCTGCCCTCCCGATAGCAACCATGGTCGAGCAGGTACCCTCGAGGGCTGCTAGCAAGGAAGGAGATCTTGGTAGAGGAAGATGGCAAGGCGGCCGCTAACAAGGAAGAAGCTCCGGCACGAAGAAAGATGGGGACTGTGGTGGCCAGCGAGAAAGAAGATTTGGGTAGGGAGAAGATGGGTGATGGAAGCTGCCGATTTGGCGGCGTTGTCGTTTCTTCACTGGCGGCTGGAGAAAGGGATTACGAGAATGGGAGGTTGGGGATGGCTGGAGCGCTACTAGTCTAGGGTTTTCTGGAATTGGGCCTTACATGGGCTCTAAGTGGATGGAGACTTCCATGGGCTTATAAGTGGACAGAGAGATACATGGGCTCTGAGTGGACTGCTCTCAGTCTTTGATGAATAGAAAGGAGACAATATATATCCAGTACTGAAAAATTCTCATTAAATCTTTATTCATATTTATTTTCCTAAATACTTTCTTATTTATTTTTCTAAATACTTATATACCCCGCCGTATCCCCGAATGACTGTTTTTGAAAAATGCCGTATCCCGTATCCCCGTATGCGTATCCCCGTGTTTCCGTCCCCGTATTCGTGCTTCTTAGGATATAGACACCATACCATTATGACAGCTTTGATGTTGTCGTGTGTAATGGGCACATCCGTGTCTGGATGCTCCATGGCATCGAGAAGCACATCTAGCATGACCTCTGCTGTGTCCTTCTCCTTCATCTTCTTCTGCCGAAGCCGCATGCGCTCTGCAATGATGTCTTCGAGCAGCTTGTCGACCTGACGGTGCACCCGTCGCAGCCGGTGCCTCATCAGAACGTTGAGGAAGCTCAACGACGGGAAATGGTCCGACAGGTTGAACCCCGACGCCAGCTCCAGGCCCTTCTTTAAGATGGAGCCCCTGTGCTCGAACGTCTCGCTCAATGCCGTCCTGCTCACGATGGCGCTGCTGAAGACCTCGACCATGGCCCGGAGGTCAATGGCCTTGCCCGGACAGTGTCCGGCGATGCTCTCCAGGAGACGACGTGTCTCCTCCCTCCGTATGGGAGCGAAAGACCTGACCCGGTTCGCGGACAGGAGCTTGACGACGCACACCTTGCGCAGCCGGCGCCAGGTGGGGCCGCCGGAGGAGAAGGCGACGTCGGCGCAGCCGTACAGCAGAACCTTGGGCCCGGCTAGCTCCGGGCGGTGGGCGAAGTTTGCGTCCTGCACCTTCATGACCTCCCTGGCCGCCTCGCGGGACGAGACGACGACGAGGCCGACCTGCCCCATCTGCAGGTACATCACCGGGCCGTGCTCGCGGCCGAGGCGAGTGATGGCGTGGTGCGGGAGCTCGCCGGTGGCCAGGTGGTGAATGCTGCCGATCAGAGGGAGGGTTGACGGGCCCGGCGGGAGAGGCGCCCCGCCGGCTCTTGTGCTGCTGGCCGACGTGGAGCCAGCATTCTTGATCATCAAGACTATTGCTCGCATTATGCACACTGCTGCAACAACGAGCGAGATTAGCGGTAACATTTCCATGTTCGACCGTTGTGCGTGCCAGAGTACATGCTAGGGCTGCAACATTTATACTGATCTGATCGACCATGCTCCATGGACATTTCATGCATGTAAATGTCTAAGCTCAGACTGCGAGCAGCCGTGTAGACTCGTCATGCATGGTTGGAAAAGGCACGTATCATTTGTTGCCGGAGGTTTCTTCCTGCTTTTTTTGGTCTGCGTGCATGCACAAGCAACTTCACCGTCGTCCGTGCCGTATGCTTCTAGACGGCTTTGAATTGAATTATAGCTTTTGTTTTGCGAGAGAACTGAATTATAGCTGTTAACCATGCAAATAGGGGCTGCCCACGGCATCTCCAACGCTAATCGCAAACCAGATACCGTATCCGTCCGTAAACCAGGGATCAGTCTGCAGATACTAATGTGAAGCAGTCACGCAACCATTACCGCAAATGTCCGCTGCTATTAACATCTTCTGAGAAATATGCGTGACTATTATGGTACTAATCCATGGTTAGTAGCTTTCGTCGAGCACGTGGAAAGGCTTCCGTCAAAACATGTGTGATCACAGAGTAGCTTCCCAGATACTGGCATGCATGGGTTAAAGTTTGCTTCCGCAAAACACTTGCATGATTAAGTTTGCTTCCACCAAATACTTCCATGACTATTAAGGGCATCTCCAACAACTGTAAGATAGTGTTGATAAATTTGTCACCTAGGACATAGTGATGATGTGGCATGTAATAAATATGGAGAGAGAACAAAGTTGTATGTAGAATAACCAACAACCTTTGCACAAGCTCCAAGGTGAAATAGAGAGCAATCACATTTATTTTCTCATCATCTATTGGATACCTTAGATACAACCCATTAGAGTAGTTGTATGATAACTTGTTGGTTGATGACATGGACATTTTACCAACAAGACTAACATACAATCTATTGAAGATGCCCTAAGGGCATCTCCAACAGTTGTGAGACAGGTGTTGGTAAATTTGCCACCTAGGACATAGTGATGATGTGGCATGTATTAAATATGGAGAGAGAGCAAAGTTGTATGTAGATTAACCAACAACCTTTGCACAAGCTCCAAGGTGAAATAGAGAGCAATCATATTTATTGTCTCACCATCTATTGGATAGCTTACATACAACCCATTGGAGTAGTTGTATGATAGCTTGTTGGTTGATGACATGGACATTTTACCAACAAGACTAACATACAACCTGTTGGAGATGCCCTAAGAAAAAAATGAAACAATGCATGCTAATTTATAGCTTCTGCAATGCAATGCTAAGGCTAGCCATAGTGGGGTAACTTAGGTAGTAACTTAACACATCCCAAGACGATTTTGCTTATGTGGCAAGTATTTAATGAAGAGAGAGGTGCTTGCAGTAACATAATATGTTACTGTAAGGCTACTCATAGTGGGGAGTAACTTGTACTAGTGTCATGCATATGACACTAGTCTAAGTTACCATCTTCATAATGCAAAGTAACATACTAGTAGTGTCATATGTGACTTCATTTAATGGCTTGTAGACTCATCTTATCTTGGGAAGCGCTATGGTACAGTAACATATTATGTTACCACTTCTCATTAACTACATGCCACATAAGCAAAAGTTTCTCGAAGTGCGCTAGGTTACTATCTAAGTTACTCCCACTATGACTAGCCTAACATAGCGCTTCCCGAGGCAAAATGAGTCTATAAGGCAATAAATGAAACAAACTACTCCCTCCATTCCACAATGTAGTGCTTCCTCTATCCCCGTGCTTCAACTTTGACCGTAAATTTAACTACCAAGACCGATTGTGGCGGGAGCAAAAATTATATCAGTGAATTCGTATTTGAAAGAAGTTTTAATTATATAATTTTTTCTCCCGCCGTTGTTGGTCTCGTTGGTTAAATTTATGGTCAAAGTTGGACCTCGGGAAGCGCGGGCGCATTATATTTTGGAACGGAGGGAGTATGACACTACTACTAAGATAATTTGCACTATGTGGGTAGTAACTTAGACTAGTGTCATGCATATGACACTAGTCTAAGTTACTCCCCACTATAACCAGCCTAAGGCCTCTCCCAATGCTCCACCTTGGACAGGTGCTAAGGTTGCCAACTAAGCAAAAACTCTGATGTGGCATGCTAGTTAAGAGAAGAGAGAATAGTATGGTGACCTCAGAAGGAAACGGTGGTAAGCACGTGTACCTAGGTGGAAGCACAATTTTGAGTCTACAACTAATTAAATGCATGAAGCTTAGCACGTTTGCATTGGGGACTAGAGTTGCTAAGGCATTTAATATACTTAGCACCTCATCAAAGCACATTTGCATTGGAGGAGATCTAATTAGTGTGCACGCCAATTCGTAGCTTCCGCCATCCAATGCTAATTACTCCCTCCGTCACAGTTTACAAGTCCTACACGTATACCTAGGTTGTCAATTTTATCACCCTAATATAAACTATATAACACAAAAATTATACCTTTTAAAAATATAATATCCGAAGTTTATATTGGTATATCGGTAGAAGCTTTTGCCAAATATATGCTTTGATTAAGTGGGTCAGCCAAATTAGTGAACCTTCCGCCAAATGCATGCTTTCCTAGGAAAAATCATAATGCTCTAAGAGCATTTTCAATGGGCGCGCTAGATATGGCCTGCATGAAAAAAAGACGGTTTTTTGTGCGCCGGTTGATAGATTTTTTATCAGATAAAACCATCTAAGCATTCATATTGTTAGAAAAACCACGCCCAAATAGTATTAACAAAAAAGACCACGTACAATGTGGCGGCAGGTCCAGTAGCGGCGGCCGGTCCTGCCGCCACAGCTGATGGCGGCAGCTTGCATGTAACAGGTTTTTCGCCTCTGCAGTTATTCGCAACAGAACGGAGATTGGCATGTGGGCCGTGTCGTCAAAGACGGTGGCGGCAGCTTCTTTCCCTACTCCACCATGCAGTCTTGGCCCAAGTTCAACGCACTCTTGCTAGTCAACAAAACGAGCAGAACTGCATGCATTCAACGAGCGGCTAGCCAGCGCTATTTTCTTGTAATTAACAACCAACGAGTGGTTAACTAGCGCAGTGCTGCCGCCACCCTCTATGGCGACAGGGCCCACCTAGCCTTTCCATTCCGTTGTGAATTGATGCATAGATGAAAAATCTGTTACACGGAAGCTGCCACCTTAGGCTATGGCGGCAGGTCTAACCGTCGGCTGCTGTGGCGGCAGGTGCCACGTGTCGGCTGCCGGACCTGCCGCCACAACTTACGTGTTTTTTTTATCAATACGGTCTAGATGTGATTTTTTCTGTTAATACAAAAGCATAGGTGGTCTTATATGACAAAAATTCCGGTTGGTGCGCTCTAGCAGGCGTGGGAAAGTCCGGCATGCTAAAAAAATATGTGCGCCCGTCAATTTTGGCGCGCACCGTCCAGCACGTTCTCGATAAAATCCGCACACGGGCGCCCGCCAACCGTCGTCTTCGTCACCTCTCTCTTCCTTCTTCCTCGACTCCGACGGTGCACCCCCACCCCCCGCTGCCGCCGCGCCCTTCTTCCTTGCCTCCAGCGCCTTTCCCTCGCTGCCGCCATGCCGCCGCGCCGCCGGAGCAGCTCCGGCTACCGCGGCGTTCGAGCCCGCCCCTTCGGCGTGTATTACACGGAGATCCGCTCTGGTGATACACACCCCGGGCTTGAGACGTTCGAGACCGCCACGAGGTCGCCCGCGCGTACGACGCAGCGGCGTGGCGCCTTGGGAGGCCACGGGCGGTGATGATCTTCTCGGACGCGCGGATGAGCACGCCATGACGGTGTGGCGTGAGCGCTTCTCGAGGATGTCGCCGCCGAAAATGAATTCTGGGAATAGAGGAGGGCGGAGCGAGCCATGGATCGGGCGGACAAGCGTGAGCAGAAGGCACTGGCGGAAGCCCAGTGCGAACTGGGACCTGTGTCGACCTCGGGCAACAATGATCCTCGATGGGACGACGCATTTCTATCGTAAGACTACATTACCGAGGAGGAGGAGGAGGAGGAGGAGGAGGAGGAGGAGAAGTAGTTATCTAGTTTTTATCATCGACGCGATTTATCTACTATATTTGTCTAGATTTTATCTCTACCATATGGACTAGCTTGTGGTGTTGGGCTTGAACTATGCTATGAATCTAAATCTATGTGTTGTTTTTGTTGGGGAACATAGTAATTTCAAAAAGTTTCCTACGCACACGCAAGATCATGGTGATGCATAGCAACAAGAGGGGAGAGTGTTGTCTACGTACCCTCGTAGACCGGAAGCGGAAGCGTTAGCACAACGCGGTTGATGTAGTCATACGTCTTCAAAGCCCGACCGATCAAGCACCGAAACTACGGCACCTCCGAGTTCTAGCACACATTCAGCTCAATGACGATCCCTGGACTTCGATCCAGCAAAGTGTCGGGGAAGAGTTCCGTCAGCACGACGGCGTGGTGACGATCTTGATGTTCTACCGTCGCAGGGCTTCGCCTAAGCACCACTACAATATTATCGAGGATTATGGTGGAGGGGGGCACCGCACATGGCTAAGAGAACGATCACGAAGATTACCTTATGTGTCTAGAGGTGCCCCCCTGCCCCTGTATATAAAGGAGCAAGGGGGGAAGCCGGTCGGCCCTTGAGGCGCGCCAAGGAGGGGGGAGTCCTCCTCCTAGTAGGAGTAGGACTCCCCTTTCCTAGTCCAACTAGGAAGAGGGAAGGGGGAAGGAAAGAGAGAGAGGGAGAGGGAAAGAGGGGCCGCGCCCCCTCCCTAGTCCAATTCGGACTCCCCATGGGAGGGGGCGCGCCACCTCCTTTGCTGCTGCCCTCTCTCTCCCCTCAGTCCCACTAAGGCCCAATACTTCCACGGGGGGTTCTGGTAACCCTTCCGGCACTCTGGTTTTCTCCGAAATCACCCGAAACACTTCTGGTGTCCGAATATAGCCGTTCAATATATCGATCTTTATGTCTCGACCATTTCGAGACTCCTCGTCATGTCCGTGATCATATCCG